GTGGTTTGAGTTCTGCATCTCTACTGTTTCATTTTCAGTGTTTGTCAACGGTACCCTCGTGGGTGTCTTTCGGAGTAGCAGAGGGTTGAGGCAAGGGGATCCATTGTTTTCATTACTGTTTGTTATTGTAATGAAGGCCCTCAGTAAGATGCTCGAGAAAACGAGGCGGGAGAATCTGCTTACGGGATTTACGGTTGGTCAACTGCACGTATCTCACTTGTTATTTGCAGATAACACACTGATTTTTTGTAAAGCAGTTGAGGAGCAAGTTAGGAATTTACGCAGGTTGCACTTATGCTTTGAAGCGGTGTCAGGATTAAAGGTTAATCTGAGGAAATCTAAGGTTAGAGCTGGACAAACTCCCGAACCGAACCGAACCCGAACCGAGCGGTTTTTCATCATAAGTTAAATACTCGAACATGTATCTGAATTGAGAACCAACGGATTTGGTTTAGTTCTCGGTTCTCGACCCAGAACCGAATTTAAATAATTTTTTTAATCTTTTATATTGAATTAATTAATTTTTTAAAATTTTTCTAAACAAATTAGCAAATTTACTAATTTAGTGATTAATGTTCCAACTCTCAAGCCAAGTCCATGACTAGCCAGCCCAGCCCAATTTCTAAATTCAATTTTTTGATTTAATTTTGATCTTATTATTAATTTCATTCTTAGCCCAAGATCTAGGCCCTTTAAAGTTTTTATCATTTTCTTTCCAATTCCACACCTTTCATCAGTAACCACTGAGTCACTGATTCCAAATCATTTGATAAATTAAAAACCTACATCTACATGCACAAATCGAAACAGCCGACCGCCAAGTCCGACTTCCCCTCTCCAATGCACAACGAAGTCGCGACCTCCAACCACGACCACCGATAGTTGATCATTAGAAATTCGTTAAAAAATTTAATTATGGTACGGAACAGAACCGAACCCGAACAGTTCCATAATTATATTTGGACCCGACGGTTCCATTTATTAAATACCCGAAAATTTTGGTTCGGTTCTCGGACCATGTCTAGCCCTATCTGAGGTTATTCCAGTAGGGGAGGTCACTAATATAGAGAAACTAGCGATTATATTGGGTTGTAGGGTTGCGCAGTTACCTGTCATATCTCGGACTCCCTTTAGGGGCACGGTTTAAAAGTATTAATATTTAGAATGCTATTGTGGAGAAGGTAAAAAGGAGGTTAGCGGGGTGGAAGCGTACGTATCTCTCGAATGATGGCCGTCTTACTCTCCTTAAATCTACTCTATCAAATATCTCTACTTATTTTATGTTATTGTTTCTATTCCTACTGCAGTGGCTAACAGATTAGAGAGGATTCAAAGCGAATTTCTTTGGGCAGGGGTGGGAGAGGAGAGGAAACTTCATATGGATAAATGGNTGTTTCCCATTCCTGCTGCAGTGGCTAACAAATTTGAGAGGATTCAAAGGGAATTTCTTTGGGCAGGGCTGGGAGAGGAGATGAAACTTCATTTGGTTAAATGGGGAGTTGTTCGCTCTCTTATGAGGATGGGGGTCTCGGAATGAGGAGGTTTACTTTGTTTAAGAAAGGCATTGTTAGGTAAATGGTTGTGCCAGTTTGATGTGGAGAGGGAGAGTTTTTGAAGAGAAATCATTGGGGCGAAGTATGGCGTGATGGAGGAGGGATGGTGTTCAGGTGAGGGTCGTAGGTGTTACAGGGTGAGTCTATTGAGGTATATTCGACGAGGATGGAACGACTTTCAAAATAACTTAACTTTTGTGGTGGGGAATGGTAATAATATCAGATTTTGGGATGATTGTTGGTGTGGAGATATACCGCTAAAGTTGGGGTTTCCTTCCTTACATGACATTATTATGATGTCTTCTGCTATCGTGAATGACATTTTAGCCGTCCATAATGGGAGTTACAGTTGGAATATCACTTTTCAGAGGAGTTTGTAGGATTGGGAATTGGATGACTATGCATTGTTTCTAACGGATTTGTATGAGGACCTAATTCGGGTAGGAGAGGATGATCGTTGCCGATGGAGGCTGGCATGAAATGGCATTTTTTCAATTCGCTCTTATTAT